CCCTTCCGGCTGATTGCCCACCCTGTAATAGTTAGGTGGCTTGGTTTCATGCAAGGGTGTCGTTCCCTTTGATTGCATCCTAGTGTCTGGTAAGCCAACCAAGAATAAATGTTGTCTAGGACTAGTTGGATGTGGCCTTCTGTTGTAGGTGCTAGCTAGTTTTCGGTCTCTCTACATATCTTTATAATACTGCTTCTTTCCCCGATATCATTTTACAGTATTAATTCAATTTCACTATTCACAGCCTCTCTCCACAATGGAGCTTCAGGACTTGACATTGCTTCCTTGAAGTTTTGAGGCTCATTTTTTAACAGGTATGTCAGAAAATCTAGACCAAATGATTTAGAGATCCTAGCCCTCTTGCTGCGTCTAGGTTCATTTGCTTTATTATTATTGTAGTCTTCACTGTTATCCATAGCAGTATCAAAAGTTCTTTTATTTGAACTTGTCTCTTCAGTTTCCTTGCATGGAAAAATGTGTTCAAAAAACGACGCATTCCTTGACTCAATAATAATATTTACATACATATCAGGATTTTCAGATCTATGAACTAAAAATCTATATACACTACTATTATTTGCATAACTAATGAACACACAATCAACGGGTTTTGGTCATATCTTAGTCGTTTTGGGACTAGGGACTGCCACCTTGTCCAAACACCCCCACACTTTGAGGTAATTGTAGGTAGGTCTTCGACCTTTTCATACTTCATAAGGTGTTTGATTGATTTTCTTGTGGGGTACCCTATTAAGGATAAAATTAGCAAAAAAAATCGCCTCCCCACACAAGTTCTGAAGTAACCCTGAACTAATCAACATGGCATTCATCATCTCTTTAAGAGTTCGATTCTTTCACTCAGCAACCCAATTTGACTGAGGAGAATAGGGTGCAGTGGTTTGGTGAATAATACCATGTTCAGAACAAAATTCCTCAAATGGTGCATCATACTCACCACCTCTGTCACTCCTCACTATCTTAATAGTTTTGCTAAGTTGATTTTCAACCGCAAGTTTATATTGCTTAAAAGCTTCTGAGGTTTCATCTTTACTTCTCAATAAGTAAACATAGCAATATCGAATGTAATCATCAATAAAAGTACTTCTTACCTCCTCTAGTTTGAACAAATTTTAAATCACATATATCTGTATGATTAAACTTAAAGGTTCAGTACTTCTTTCTACTTTATTAAATGATGCCTTAATAAGTTTTGCCTCAGCACAAATTTCACATTTATTATTAGAATCAAATTCTAAGTTTGGTAAACATTCTAAAGAAACAAGTCTACGCAAATAATTAAAATTAACATGTCCTAATCTACCATGCCATAAAAAAGAAGATTCAGCAATATAAACAGAAGATGCGTTCTTATTATTAATATCCAAAATTGGTACAATAGTATTCACATTGAGCTAAAAAAGCACATCACTCATATAACCTCGCCCCACATACATGCCACTCTTGGAGAGTACAACCTTGTCAGATTCAAAGACTAATTTAAACCTATTCTTGATCAACAATGACCTGGAAATCAAATTTTTGCGAATTTTTGGCACATGAAGTACATTGTTGAGCATGAGTTCTTTCCCCGAGGTCATTTTCAGCACGATTTTTCCTTGTCCTTCCACAGTTGAAGTGGAGGAGTTTCTCATAAAAAGTTGTTCCCCCATTTCCACCATTTTGTAAGTTGTGAACATCTTCTTATCTACACAGATATGGTAGGTTGTTCCAATATCCACCCACCTCTCTTTGGGATTGCCCACCAAATTTGCTTCAGAGACTACTGCAGCGAGATTGATGTCTACCACTCCATCGAAAAGATAAAAATCATCGACTATGTTGGCTTGTGTTGGCTTTTTGCTTGAACTCTCTTTATCCTTGCGAACATGACAATCCTTAACGCAATGTCCATCTTTGCCGCACACAAAACACTTGCCTTTGAATCTCTTGTTGAACCTCTTGTTGATCCCTTTGTTGATCTTACTTGTGGATCCTTGTTTGGGACCATTGTCATCATTTTTCCACTTCTTGTTGTTGAATTTTGACCCTTATCCATGTTCCACAACATTTGTTTTAGCCTGCATGATATGGTTTCCAAACTTCTTGTCAAAACCACAGTTATCCTCAATTCTGAACCGCACTATCAATTCCTCCAATTTCATCTCCTTGCGCTTATGCTTTAGACAATTCTTGAATTCTTTCCAAGATTGTGGCAATTTTTCAATGATTGCCGCTACTTAGAAAGATTCACTGAGAACCATCCCTTCTGCATGTATGTCATGTAGAATTAATTGGAGATCTTGAACCTGGCTAATAACTGTCTTGGAATTTATCATTTTAAAATCCAGAAAATGACTGACAACAAATTTCTTTGTACCGGTATCCTCTATCTTATATTTATGATCTAGAGATTCTCACAGTTCTTTTGCAATACTTTTGACACTATACGCATTGTATAGTGTATTGTCCAACCCATTGAGGATATAATTCCAACACAGAAAATCACCATGTTTCCATGCATCCACTACGGCAACCACTTGCCGGTCAATTTCTTTCTCGTTCAATGCTGGTGCTTTTTCATGAGTAAAGCGAGCCAAATTCAATGTGGTAAGATAAAACATCATTTTTTATTGCCATCTTTTAAAATCATTTCCATTGAATTTTTCTGGCTTCTCCCCATGATTTACTGGTACTGGCGGAGTCATCACTGGTACAACAGGTGTAGGGGTCGGAGTAATAACAGTCTCAGTACTGTTTATCTCAATTTTCATAATTCTGAGGAAATAATAATACACTAATCACAAATTTATACATAAAAGAATTTACACACAAAATAAACAGAATAATATTTTGTAACAAAATTCCAATGATAAATAGTATATTACTACTATGTTATCAAAGAAATCATTAAACAATATATTACTACTATTTAAGAAATTAAACAATATATGACTACTATTTAATTTCTCGAAACAAAATATTTGTCTGTCTAACATAGAAATAAATAAAAACCGAAAATCTACTTTAAGATTGTATCCAACACCAGCCTCGACTTAAAATTTCTGTAAACGTTTAATTCAGAATTTAATTTATTATTTTCTGAATTATTCATTTATATCCTTGTTGTTTATTTTAATTATACATTTAATTTACACACACTCACCGCTAAGTGTAACAAAAATAAGCACCTACACAGACACATTTGATGCCTACAAATACATAAACATATTTACAAACTATAAATCAACAATGGAACATAAACTGGAACTCAATCAATCATGAATACTAAAAATAAGCAACAAAGGATTCAACCACTATAGTATATACATACATATATATATATATATATTCAGACAGAGAGACAGAGACAGAGACAGAGAGGAGTCCCCTTGATCGCTATCTCTGACATCACTGAGCAAATCGCTAATGCAAAGCAACGGCGGTCCGATTCCTCTCATCTCTTGCTCTCTCTTACCCTCTTGACGTTTCCAGAGATTTATGACTAATTACACCTTTTCCCGTTAAGTCTATTAACATTGCATTAACGTGATCATCAAAAGTCGGGGTATGAGTGTCATTTTCTTTTGAAAGGTAAATTACATTGACCCCTAAGGTTTATAATAAAAACAAATTGATTGCCTGAATTACATAAATCGAACGTCCGGCCGGATGACTTTCTAGACGATCGGCATCACCCTTGTTAACCTTAATTATCACCCTTGTCTACCAATATATTAATCGACATTCGCCCAAATGACTGATCGGACAACCATTATGCACAAATTCAAGCAATTTAGGCGAGTTAAAATTCGGTAAATATAACAATCTTATAATAATTACAAAGATATCTAGAGATGTTTATGAAATATAAAGCCAAACTCAAGACCCCACTTTATTTCATTGAACCCCTTACCGTTTAATAATTTTTTTTATTTTTTATTTCCATTCTATGTTAATGTAAAATTTCAACCTAGTTTATATTTATAATCTTTCAAATCTAATTTATGTTGGAAAATTTGAATTACAATTTACTCCAATGGTTGTATCTCTTGAGATGAAAGGGTGTGTCCTTTTGAAGAGTCACAACCTTTCTAAAGAGTCATGGAGGAATCTATATATTCTATCCCCCTCACTTCATTTTGAAATATAGAATTGCAATTTTCTTCTTCACTTTGCATTTATTCTTCATTTTTTCTGAGTCTACTTTTCCCATAAAGAGAATACATGCACAGCGAAGTTCGCTAGGCTTGTAATAGTAATGCTGCTAGTGCAAGATATTGATCGTTGTATCCTTGGAGATAGATGTCCATTGAATCCTAAGCACCGGTGAGAGGACGAATCTGTTTTAAGGAAAGAAAGAGTGTCACATACTCGACTCGATCAAGTTTTATCTTTTTATGTACCGTAAGTTTTATTACGTTTTGGTCAATTTATTTCAGTTTTGGTTTTGCCCAAAAACCATTTACATATTTTTTAAATTATATTTTTCAAATAGTTTGGTACTATTTTTCTAACAATCTTAAGACAAAATCGTCCTGTTTATGGTTTTTGGTGCAAAATAATTGATATGCCTGATCTTTTCATAACTAGGAATTTGAAACGAAAAATATGAGAAACGTTTCTTATTATTTGGAAAATCTGAATCTTTTTTATGATCTTGATTGTTGCTTGTGGTCGAGAATTTATTACATACATATGTGTGTGTGTTTAGGACATTGAAGGTTTCAGATATCTTGGGATGATGGGTTTTTTTTTTTTTTTTTTTAAAATTTGTAGTGTAGGTTGTCAAAAAGAGTGATATAACCCACAATGAAGTAACTTGAATAATCAGATTCACATCAGAATAAGAAGGGTGAAGTTCTTCCTAGATTAATTTTAATCGGTTACACACACCTCTCTTCTCTTTCCTCTATTTATTTCTCCACTGAAACACCACACAACACAAAAACAAAACTGAAATCGAAAAAATTGAACGTTACAGAGCCACCACAGAGAGAGAAATGTCTTATACCGTTGCAATCTTGAACTCACCTGTGTTCTCTCCATCTAGGGTTTGTTCTTCTCATTTCTGTAAATCCTCACTCTCATCTTCCCTAGATAAAAACCTTTCTCTAACCCTAACCCACTGGCCTTCTTCTTCTTCGCTGTTTAGGCTTCGGCTACAGAAGCCTCCAAGCAGGCTTAATAGGGCTTCTAATGATTGTGCAGTTTCTACTTCATCTTCGTCTTCTTCTCCATCGGTGCTGTTGAAGAGGAAGAGGCCGGCAAGGCTGGATATTCTGAATTCAGGAATGGGTTTTGGTGGTGGTTGTATGGTGACGCCGGTAGTGGGAATGGAGAGGAGGGAGGTTATGGAGGCTGAGAGTGATGGGTATTTGGTGTTTGGTAAGAGGGAAAGAAGGGAAGCCATGAAAGATGGGCACTCAGCCCTCCTCAATCTTCAAGGAGTTCCCAAACAGTGATGTGTTAATCCGTCATTGGAAACAGAGAAATCAATCAGCATGATGATGTTCCGTACAAAGGTGACATTTTTTTTTTTCAACAAACTCATAACATAAATTGGCAAGACTGACTGTTTGTCAATAAACTAGTAATGAAATTTTATGTCAATACTTTTGAGGCAAAACTTCGAACCATTTGGTCATGGCAATTATTGCACAATTGGAGAAAACTATTGGTGTGATGGTTTGTTTTAAATCACTGTTTCTTTTTGTCATTAGATTTTGGATATGGGCCAATCTATTTGGTACCATTCAATATATTCTGGGCTTAGATTTGGGTCCAATAGTAATGACAAATTATTGGGCTAAGCATTAATGGGTAATGATTTAAAATTTTATGAAGTGGCTTATATTTTTTGGGTAAGTGTTATGATTCTATTTATAACTTGTTTCTTTTTATTTAAATAAATGTTCTGATTCGGTATGACCATGATTAACTTTTATTTGAGGAATACTATGCATTTAAATTTTTATAATTGTTAGAATTTCAATTATGTATATTTGTTTATAAGTTAGTATCTCAAGTTCCTCTAAGGAAAGGCACAAATATTTGACAAATATTTTGTGGAAGTTTTCAAGAATGTGTTTCTAAAATAAAGATATGATTTTAATTACTAAAATCTAGTATGATTTTTGGTTTGTGAATTCTTAAAACTTGAGAAAATATAGAGTATATGTTATATACTTGGGAAAATTTTTTGAATGTAATTTGATGTCATTAATTGATATATTTGATATATCGATTTGGTATGTGGTATATTATAAATGGATGTCAATTATTATTTTGTGGAAGTTTTCAAGAATGTGTTTCTAAAATCAAGATATGATTTTAATTACTAAAATCTGGTATGATTTTTGGTTTGTGAATTCTTAAAACTTGAGAAAATATAGAGTATATGTTATATACTTGGGAAAATTTTTTGAATGTAATTTGATGTCATTAATTGATATATTTGATATATCGATTTTGTATGTGGTGTATTATAAATGGATGTCAATTATTTTATAAAAGTGTTGATAAAAATGTGAACTTATGTGTTTTGACATAAGGGGAATTCTAACATTCATTGGAACAATGACTGTGAAATTGGTGTAATGACCGATAACTCCGTAATGAAATATTATATGAGTTAAAATATTTTATGGGTGAAAGACGCTTTGGTAATTGTCGACGTAGTCACCAATACTGGATAAAACAAATAAGATGTAAATGTAATTATACAGTGATATTTATATTCCATGTTGAGATTGGAATTAAAGGTTGCAGTAAACAAAAAGAAATAATGTATGGCTAAAGAAATGTTATTTGACAAAGTGTTGTGGCCACAACCGGTATTAGCCATTTTTTCTTTGTACTGCAAAAGCAAGTTATGAAATCTAATTGTATTTTAGACAAATTAGTATTATGATTATATTCACAAAGCAATTTACATCTTGTTATTTAGTTCAAGCACGCCAATTAATGATATATTCTGATTTACCTCAGAATTGTGGAGGTGTATTAATATTTTTGTGTAATTATACATCAGCAAGAGAAATTAAGTTTCTTTGGAATGCTTAAAATGTGGGGGTGCTCGGAGGATTTTACCAAAGAAACGGTTCCAATAATAGGTCCACAAAAAATCTCAATTCTTTCTACTAGACAAAGTTGGAGTAGAAGCAAAAATGGTTTCATTAATTCCTAAGGAACAAATCTATGTTTATTATCTAAATTTGAAAATGGGAGTGACATAGAGTAACGGTAATTCTCAATGTAATCAAAGACTTAATACCGTAGGATATTTGCTTTCAATTATGACTATTGTCTAAGGATGATATAATGGATCCACTAACTACTCAATGATATACAACTAAGAAGGTCAAACGAATAATAGTAGCTGCCAAAGAAAAAGTTTGACCAGAGAGCCAATGAGGGAAAGTTCATTGAGGGGAATGTAATTAAAGCCTATTACATCAGAGTTATCATAATAGTAACCCTACTTGGATGACTGGAGATCCCAAGAACTAAATTCAAAGGGACAATTAAGTTATGTGTGGCTCCCCAGAAATCACTAAAGGAGTCTTAACTCCTATTCATTCCTATGATGAGAGTGATATTTGCAACATGTGTTGTATGCAGGGAACTTACGCTAAGTTATGCTTTTAATGATCACTTATATCTTGAAAACCTTAGACGGGTATTTTTCAAGAGGAGTATTTAAGAAACTCGAAATAAGGATCACCTATATGAGTGTGAAGGGGCCGCTTCTATGAGAATCGATAAGGCAAAATTCTCTAAAGCACTCATGAAATACTAGGAGATGCCCAAGGCCAAAACAGACACAACCATAAGAACTAAACTGTGTCTGGAGATATTCTGTGTGAATTCTATTGTCTTGGCTTACACAAACGGCTAAATAGCTCAAGGCATCACGTCCACTGATTAGCTAGTAAGTCCGATAGGCTTTCACTAGAGAAGGTTCAAAGCCAAAAGCTACCTATCTCGATGCAGGGTATTTCCTTAATGTACTCTCTCTTCGTCTGCCTGTTGTTGCATGTTCTTTCCATAAATTTTATTCATGTGGAGGATTGTTGGAAAATTTGAATCACAATTTACTCCAATGGTTGTGTCTTTTGAGATGAAAGGGTGTATCATTTTGGAGGGTCACAACATTTCTAAAGAATCATGGAGAAATCTATATATTCTATCCCCCTCACTTCATTTTGAAATAGAGAATGGCAATTTTCTTCTTCACTTTGCATTTATTCTTCATTTTTTCTGAGTCAAATTTTCCTATAAAGAGAGTATATGCACAGCAAAGTTCGCTAGGCTTGCAATACTAGTGCTGCTAGTGTAAGATATTGATCGTTGTATCCTAGAAGATAGACGTCCATTGAATCCTAAGCACCAGTGAGAGGACAAATCTGTCTTAAGGAAATAGTGTCAGTGTTACACACTCAACTCGATCAGGTTTTATCTTTTTATGTACTATAAGTTTTGTTACGTTTTTTGTCAATTTATTTCAGTTTTGGTTTTGTCCAAAAACCGTTTACATATTTTTTTTAAATTATATTTTCTAGATAGTTTGGTACTATTTTTCTAACAATTTAACCCTACACCACTCAACATTCTTCACTTCTAAGGACCACTGCTACCAATCCATAAAAAAATTACCACTACTATCTCCAGTCATTCCCGTTACCTCGTTATCTAACTTTTCCATCCATTCTATGAAATAAAATAAAAATAAAAATAAAAATAGAGCAACAAAGAGAAAATCACGAAGGAGAACACAAAGAGAAATAAAAATAATAATAAGAATGTGGTCACAATGGTTAGAAGGAATGCTAGGAATCATGGTGGTGTAGATGGATAGAAGTAGTGAAGAGAATGAAGAGAGGTTGGGTATGGTCGATAAGGCAAGAATGGGCAGTTGAAAGTAACAATAGCAAAATGCTAGATAGAGTTAGAGCTTCACAAGGTTATGAATAATAGTGGAGCTGGAGTTAAAAATGTGGATATTCCAAGAAGCGAAAAAGAAAATTTCAAAATATTTTAGTAGAGAAAAAAAAATTAAAAATATAAATAGGACACAAATTGACATTAGACTTATTTGGTGTACCTTATTATAAGGTAAAAATTGATAATTAAAAAGTAAAAGGTTAAAAAAAAAAATGCATTTCTCCTAATTTTCAGAAAATCAATTTTTTTTAAAAATTATTTAAGTTATTCATACCTAATACATTATAAGCATACCCTGCACTAAATAATCGATCACAAAATTTTAAATTAAAATAAATTATAATAAGCTTATTTAATTTACAATAAACAGAATCAATATGAGATTCATAAGATATAGGTTTCGCTTGGGATGTGGGTTAGTTTGCTTTTTGATTTTTTAGTTATTTTAACATGAAGTTAAAAAGTCTCGTTTGGAATAAATTTTTTACTTTTTCTTTTCTCTACGCTTGACAATTTTGAAGTCCTCTTCGTTGAGGCAAAAGAACCGTCAACACAGTCGTCTGATAATTGGCTTGAATTTAATCTGTAAGGATTTTTCAATCCTTGGTGGCACGCTCGCATTTATGATATTTTCCTTCATAAGAAAAATAAGCTAACATTTTTTGGCATGCCCAGTGGGACGTCAAGTGTAATAAATGAAAAATGAGATGAAATAGCCTAGATGAAATTGGATTTGTCCATTTCAAATAGCCTAGATGAAATTTATTGGCGTAAACAAGAACTTTTGGATCTTCAAGAAGAGGTCCATTTTCTTGATGAAATAAATTTTCATCCCTTACAATATTATTTGGTGGAAGAAAAAAGACACCATTTAATTGGAGAAATTCATCAACTTGATATGAAAATTCGCCAATGGAATGATGAGTTATCAACTCTCACTACCAAGTCTTTAACTGAGGCCTTAATGGCCGGAATTGGTGAATTTTTTCAGAATTTTTCCATGGTTAAAAATAGCAAAAGCAAAGAGTTGATTTCATCAATGGCTCGGGGGGTTCAAGAATCCGTTTTTGAAAAGCCAAATTATGAAATTAACATAACGAAAGAGCATGTTCTTGAGTCAAATTTGGCTAAGAATGATGTTCCATGCATGGCTCGGGGGGTCTCAAAACCAATTTTCAGAGAGTCAAGTCATGAAAATAACATATCTATGGGTGATTTTCATAAGCCATTAATGGCTAACATGGAAAAACAACCCACTTTGCCAAATAATTATGAAAATCTATTCGGCAAAAGTCATATTTTTAAAACAAACACGGTCAAAAATAATGAACAAGCCACTGTTCATGAATTCAAATTTTTTGATATTTTTTAAAATGTCAAAAAGTATGAATTTTCATGGTTACACCATACCATGACTTTTGTTGTTCGAAATCCATTTTGGATTTGTGGATCACATCAAATGTTGACTTTGACGGAATGGCTAACAAATAATATTTTGTTGTTGCAATATATTGGGCCA